AATATATATTTTTTTATTATTTTTTTAAAAGATGATAATAGGTAACTCAGTTGCTCTGAATTTCACTTATAATTATAACCTATTTAAATCACAGCAGAACTCCCGCTGGTGCAGAGTTCATAGTTGCATACAATACAGGAGATCACAGTTTTGAAGTCTAGCACAGATTAAAAACCACAGATGTACCATTTATATAAGACACACACTGATTGTCTCTTAAAAACTACATATTGACTCCTTATGAACATTATCTTTTTTTTTTTTATCTTTAAATAAAGTAGTGCAGCTAGGACAATCAGTCACACAACCCACACAGCCCTGAACCAAGTTCTCCGGGTGCCAACTTGAGCAAGTTGGGCATGAAACTGTTGGATGAGCTCGAGAGCAAGAGAGAAAGAAAGAGGGAGGGAGAAAAGGAGGGAGAAAAAGAGAGATGCTGTCCATTCCGAATATTTTAACCGAGGGTTGGCTAACACATTGGAAACCTCTGGGTGAAGGATCTTTCCACGCACACACAAAAAAAAAAAAGAAATAAAAACCTAGACTTTTTTTTTTCTTTTTTTTCTTTTTTTTTTTTTTTTTAAAACTGGCCCGTAGGTGGAACGCTCTCCCACCTCTTCCAAACAAAGAAACCCAACAATTGCCTAAAACTAGAAAGAACACAGATGGGTCTGTCTGTTTTCTGCTCACTAGATGATCTGTCCGTTTAAGGCCTTCCTCCTCCATTTTTCCTCTTTATTATTCCTTTTCCAGAGCGTCTGAGCAGGAGATGAGTCTGAACGGGATCACACCAACACTGTCCCCCCTCTTGTCGCTGTCGGTTTTTTTGTTCGTTTGTTTGTCCGTTGAGTTATTTTTTCTCTTTAATTTAACCAAGACCTGACTAAAACTGGAGCGTTCAGCCCAGCCTGTTTGTTCTCGTCGCGATTTCTCTCGTTATCACAAAGGTTCTTCACAAAACCTGGAACTTCCATGACGATGTTTGGTCCTTATAATCCAAGCAGTCAGCATTGAAGTTTAACTTCCAGGAGGCGGTTTGGTCTTTATAATCCAAGCAATCGGTGGTGGAGTTAAAGCCCAAACTGGAGGCTCCATAGCCCTGGGTGGAGAGGGAGGCTGGAGACTGGTTGAGGTGGCTGGTGACCGCGTTGGCACCCATGGGACTCAGGGTGGCCCCCGGTCCGGGAAGCTGGTGGTGCATAGGGGTCAAGTAAGATCCACAGTCCATCCCTCCAAAATAGGAGGTCGAGCCAGCGTATCCTTGGCTGTAGCCTGATGCCTGGGTGTAGGTCATAGGATAGGATCTCTGCATGCAGGAGGAAGAGGTGGACAGGGGATCTGAGAGCGGGGAGATGGACGCTGGGCTCCAGATGGATACGGGAGCACTGCTGCTGGAAATGGTGGGGACCGAGGTGCTGGAGGGGGGAGTGAACTGCCCGCTGGTCCCGCTCTCCGAGCTCACTTCCCGGGCTGGCGAATTCTTCTTTTTAGCTGGCCGCACCTTGTTCTGGCCCCCGTTCTGCTGCTGCTGCTGCTGCTGCCGGCACTTGGCCCGGCGGTTTTTAAACCACACCTTGAGACCGAGAGACGGGGAGGGAGAGAGAAAAAGCCTGGTATTAGGGATGCACAGGGGAGAAGGGGAGACCCAAGGGGAGAAGAGCCCGTGGCGGGGAGACCCGGCCGGGGAGGAGGCACTAAAAGCGCTCCCCGGCAAGCGGAGGGTTGCAAGGCTGCTGCAAAGAAAGGCTCCGGGGCTCCCCCTCCCCGAGATCATTAGCGGTAATAACAAGTGGAAATGGACAAATCAAACTGCTTAATAAGGTCACTTTTGGGGGAAAGGGCCAGGGGAGGGGGGGGGCAGTGCTCCCTATTTGCTGTTTGCCAGCCGGGGACCCCCAGGAATCACCGTTTAAGGCCTATTGAAGTCAAGCCCTTAATTAGAAACAATAGAGCATTAGAAAGGGAACAACAATTAGGGAAACAGAGCAAGTGGAAATGGACAAATCAAACTGCTTAATAAGGTCACTTTTGGGGGAAAGGGCCAGGGGAGGGGGGGGGCAGTGCTCCCTATTTGCTGTTTGCCAGCCGGGGACCCCCAGGAATCACCGTTTAAGGCCTATTGAAGTCAAGCCCTTAATTAGAAACAATAGAGCATTAGAAAGGGAACAACAATTAGGGAAACAGAGGCAGGGGTTGGGGGTGGGGTGGGTAAAATGCCTCCTTT